ACTTGACAAACATCTCATCAAAGGAGATCTTTACTCTTCATTTCATTACTTGCATCCTCGCATCATCCAGTCCATCTTGGCTTTCTTGCTAAGGCACCAGTGACTTCCATTAGCAAAAAAGAGCTTCCTTTATTATGTTGTTCTTAGAGGTCATCAAGTCATTCCAACTCATAGTGACCCGTGTGCAACAGAATGAAACTCCGCTGGGTCCTCAGCCATCTTCCCAACTGGGAACTCATTGTTGCAGCCGGTGTCAATCAATTTTGTCAAGCTCTCCTTTTTTGCTGTCCCTCTACTTTACCAGCATAACGGTTTTCTTCAGGGACTGGTCTCTACTGATCACATAGCAAAAGCACATGAGAAGTCTTGCCATCCTTTTAAGGGGCATTCTGGCTGTACTTTTTCTACAACAGATTTGTTTGTTCTTTTGACCATTCATGGTACTATCAATATTCTTTGTTAGCATCACATTATTGTACAATGGGAGAAAAATCTTGCAGTATGCTTTCATCAAAATTTGCAGTCTTGGAAAACCTATGGGGCCATTATATGCTGTCCTGTAGGGTCATTATGAGTCAGCAATGGGTTGTGTGTGTGTGTGTGTGTGTGTGTGTGTGTGTGTGTGTGCTGGTCAAAACATTGATCAAACTTAGGTTTTTGAAATAGTGTCCCTCCTCTGAGTTTACCTGACAAAAGCTTTTCACCCCTCCTTTTCTCCCTAAGGTAGCTCCTTTCTCATTATACTAACTTCTATCTGACCCCCAAGTGTTAGAATTTGTGAGAGGTGCTGTCCCTTGGTTGTCCATTCTCCTGTTTTCCTCCTCCTTCTCCTTTCTTCTTCTACTCTATGACTAGTAGAATTATGACTTACAAACAAAGATATAACTTCTTTTTATCTCTAGACAACATCTCTTCCAAGTTTCAATCTCACACAAAGGGGTGCCCCCCGCCCCCTGCCAAATGGAATTGCGCTGGGTGGGGGGTAGTTAGGTGATTATTGAGCAATTCACACTGAGTTAGTGCACCCAGTGGCATTGCCTGGGAAGGCTCTCTCTGGTCATAGTGAATTTTTTTTCATAAGAGCAGTTTAACTCAAACCTCCTTTTTTGTGATTAAGAGAACAGCATGAAATTTGTTTCCTGCTCAGGAAAAAAAATGCTGCATAAACTGTTGTGATGTTGAACACAGCTTACAAGGACATTGTTCTGGGAAAAACTCAAGTGTACACGTGGTTTTCTTGTTTCAAAAAAGGTAAAATGTTGATTAATGACAAACCTTATTCTGCATGTCTGTCAGCTTTCCAAATGGACAAACATGTCGACTTATAGGGCATTTGGAGTTTGTTCAACCAGGTCAGAATGTTAATGAAGATTTCTATTTAGAGATTCTGAAAAGATGGAATAACAAAAAGGCCTGGTTTGTGGCAGACAGGCAACTGGTTTTCCCACCATGACAGTATACCTGCTCACCTGCGGCCATCTAAGTACACCAGTTTTTGGCAAGAAACAGCCTGCCTCTCTTGCCCCTCTCACTTAACTCACCTGCCCTCGCTGCGTGGGAATTCTTTTTGTTTCTGAGAATGCAGAGGGACATGAAAGGACAGCAATTTGAGGGCATAGAAGAGTCAGAAAAAAAATGAGGGAGGTGCTGCCAGCCATCCAAACAGATGAGTTTGAAAAATGTTTCCAAGAATGGAATCACAGATTTGACAAATGTATTAAGTGTAATGGAGAGTACTTTGAAGGTGATAAGGTTAATTTGTCAAAAAATTTAAATACATAGCCTTGTGGAAAAAATCCATTTTGAGGGGGGAACCCCTCATATATCAAGTGGCTTACAAGGCATTCATTTGTGGAGGCCTCTGTGACAAATCAACCTCGTTATCTTTTTGTCTCCAAATTAGTGATCTCTACTTTGTGAATGACACCTGCCTTTCCCCAGTTAATGTCCACTAGGATTCTAACGGTTTCCCTGATATATCCTTCTTTGCTACCCCATATCCAACCTGTCATCAATTAGAAAGGATTTCTCAAATTCTCCCACATCCATCTTTATCGGCATCATTATGTAAACTTCCTTAATAGTCTCTTAATTGGTTTCCACTCCTTCTTTGCTTGCCCATTCATCTGTTGTACATGCTACAGTGACATTATCCTTTAAAAATGCAAATTTAATTATGCCATAGTTTGCTTAAAGCTTCTACCTGGTCTCCATTTGTTCTAAGGAAAAAGATAAAACTCCTTGATTTATATAAGTTACATATTCTATCGTTTACTTACCTCTCTAGCCTCAGCCAGCAACATCTAATACTTCATTAACACCTATTAAACTCCACAATACATGCTGGGTCCTCCTCTTTGAGTTTTTCCATTGGAGAAAGGCAAGTTACTGGCTCCTGTTACAGGGTCTTTGCTTGTCCTAATTCGTGTGAGAGACAATGTAGCTCCGTGTCCAAGGATACAGAATCTGACATCTAATCTTCAAGGGAAACTGCCAGGGTTCAAATTTTGATTCCACCCTTCCTTAGTTGGGTACCTTTGGACAAGTCACTTTACCTCTCTCTGCCTCAGTTTCCTCCACTTTAAAATGGGAATAATTATATCATCTATTTTCAGCGATGTTCTTATGATCAAATGACCATTTGCAGGGATGTATCTCTCCTCCCTGCTTCATCAAATTTCTCCCTAAACTTGTATTCTCAGCTTTAGAGTCATTTTCTCTGGGAAGTCTCTCCTGACTGGCGTCAATGACTCCATTATAGGTTTTCTCGCATCTCAAGCCTCTTATTTGTGAGGCTTACTATAAGTGTAAGTTTATATTTGTTTACGTGATTGTCAGAGGGGAAGTGCCGTCAGTATCGCTGGTGCCACTGGACCCTCAGCTGTAGGAACGCAGGGTTTGTTGTCTGACTTTGCTCGCGTTCCTTAAGCCTAACAGTGTCCGGCTGGCTGTTACCTTCACAACAAACGCTAGTTGGGAGAGAAGGGTGGAAAGATAGTAAACTTCACTGAAGATAAGCTGTGGAGGATTTCCGTGATAACCAACCTTCTTTTGTGCTTAAACCAATGTCTTGTATGAGAATAAATTCAGAGAAGAAACAAACAGTTGATGGTAAAGCAGGAAAGTTAGGTTGGTTCGGTAGGAGCCAATACAAGGTTTCTCCATCATACAAAGCAGCAATTTGTAGAGTTTATGGGTTAGGCAGACAGATCTGTGCTGATTCTTCCACCAGAAGTGGTGTGACCTGAGTCAAACCACTTTACTGACAAGAATCCAGATGTCCTCCTCCATCAATGAAGCCACAGTCCCTGGCATGGAGACAAATCTTGTTGACCACGGAACTTAAAATAATTATAGTTTATCTTCAGGTTATCTAATTAAACACAGGCTCCTGGCAATCATAAACAAAACCATACCAAACCGAATTGTCATCTAGTCAATTTTGACTCCAAGAGATGGAGAACTCTGTCTATAGGACAGAGTAGAACTGCCCCTTCAGTGTCCGAGGCTGTGAATCTTTATGGGAGCAGACAGCCTCCTCCATCTCCTTTGGAGAGGCTGGCGGCGGCGGTGGTGGTGGTGGGGGCTCTGCCGGCCTTGCCATTAGCAGCCCAAAGGGGAAAACCACTATGCCACCAAGGCTCCTTCAGAAGACGAAGGGTAGTCTAACGTAGGATGGACTGGGAAAACAAGAGTTCCAAGGGCATGCCTGGTCTAACAGTCTCCACTTACCTTAGGCTTAAACCCATTTGAGAGAGGCACTAGGTGAGCTGGGCAGGGCTTCATTTATGGATCATGACTTTGTGAGAGGCTGACTTTAAAACCATAGGCGAGTCCACAGTCCCTGACAAGACAGCCCTCGCACGGGTGCCAGGATCCAGAGAATTTGCTTTCCCCTGAGAATCAGGTAGCCAAAGACTGTTCACCCCGCACCAGAGTAAAAAAGCAGCTGTAAGTCTCTTTTTAATCCGTCCCCAGCGGCTGGTCCCTTTGCTCTCGGGATGGCGAGAAGAGCTCTTGAGAGGAGTCATCCAGGACATGCAAGCCATTGCCCCAAGCGGTGTCCGAGAAGATGGACATTATATTATGTCTCCTCCAAGACCTATCTTCTCGCCTTTCAAGCTTGTGGGACCCACAGGCCTGTTAGTTTGAGGAGGGAGGGAGTGTCTGCAAAAAGAAGGGAGTCTGGGGGATGTGTGGGGTAGGAATTGAATGTGCACTTCACGTGCATGGGAGGTGTGTTGGTGCTTGAACTTGAACTTGAACTTGACTAGGGTCTGCCTTTGCAACAGCGCAGTGGTCGTCCGTGTGGAGGCGGGGAAGGGGCCCGGGCGGCTAAGTCTGGGTAGGGTGTGTGTGTGCGTGTGCGTGTGTGTGTGTGTGTCTGAGTGCCAGTGAGTGAGTGTGTGTGTGTGTGTGTGCGCGCCAGTGAGTGTGTGT